CTAGGCTAATACCTAACCTGGGACCTTCAACTGAAAACCTGTTCTTCATTATCCCTGTCAGTGGAACTGCGACATTCGACTTTATTATTATTTTTATTATTATGTCTAATTTCATTTAGGCATAATAAGTATCTTTGTATTTTGTTAGATTTGGCCTAATATTTTGATTTCCCCAATGTTAAATTTAGTGTTTAAACATTTGTTATGTTGTCCTGTTTTCATGTGACATGTTATCTTGGCTCTAAGAACAAAGATCGTGTTTTTCTTTTTCTTTTATTTCCCATAATGTCCACTTTAACAGAACACACTTTCTACTATACTAACCAGTTTACATTAAAACCTTAGATCATTAAAATGTGTGAGGGTTGTCTGGTCTTGGGATTCATTCACATCTTTTTTTTTTTTTTTAAACAGGCAAATTCACGAAAGAGAAAACCAAGGAATAAAAAAAGCAAAACTCTGAAGCCATCAAAGATTGATGAGGGGGCAAAGAGTCCGTCCTCTGACCTCCCATCAGACAAGAAGTCAGATGTTGACGAGGATGACATTAAGGAGGAAATGGTATTGTTAGAATCAAGTAACCCCTTTTCTAATAGCGCAGAATGAGTTTTCAGTTTTTAATCTGTGTATTTTGCTTCGGTTCGGTCAGGAGATGACGCCAGTGAAGCCTCCAATCAGACGCAGTCGAGCAGACAGAACTGTGAAGGATGAAGAGGAGGAGGAGAAAGAGGAGGAGGAGGACGACGACGATGATGAGGAGCCCGATCAGGATGATGCTTCTTCATTAGAAGAGATGGAGGTCGTAGAAAAGGAGATAAAAAAGGATGTCAAAAAGGAAAAGAAGGAACAAAACTGGGACATTAAAGAGACAAAGGAGCTGAAAGACAAAAAGGAAAATATGGCTGTGGACTCAGTGAAACAGGAGAGCAACAATGACAAGGTAAAACAAAGATAACTACGCTACACAAATAAACTGAATTTTGTTTAAACATTCTTTAATCTTCTGCACCTGTAGTCATGACTGGAAGGGCTCAGTGAAGGGCTCAAATGTCTGTGCACTGTCATTTATAAAGTCAGTCAAGATCAATCTGGTGTGGTTTAGACATATGTTTGTTGTGAAAGACCGGACCAGTTTTGTTTAAGAAAAGATATTCAAATCTTTCGTCAGAATGAGGTCAAACCTGAAGTGAAGACTGAGGCACCAGAACGGACAAAGAAAGCCTGCAACATGCCAGTCCATATAACAGCAAGTGGAGAAAATGTTCCCATTTCTGAGGAGTCTGAAGAGCTGGACCAAAGAACCTTCAGTGTGGTGCGTCTCATCCATCACTAACCATTGGTCGATGGTCATTGTTGAATGTTTACGATGTGTGCCTGTCCTGCCTTGATGACAAAACTGCACCAAAACAAGAATTTTAACCATGACAGAGACAACAGTGTGAAGGCAGCAAAACATAACGGTGATAGTTGAGCTGATCTAATGTGATTCACTTATAGATTATAGCATGTTGTAAAATAAGTCCATGGCAAAAGTTAATGAAGATGTGCATTGTAGTAGCCAGGGCTTATTGTTTATTTTGTTTGTTTGGTTCTATGTTTCCAGTGTTGTAAATCCCACTGTCCTCCATCTTAAATGTTACATATTACATATACATCTTGTACAGTTCACTGCCATTGTACAGGCATGTGAAAAAAAATTAATCTTGTGATTATGTATGTTGTGTATGCATGTTGCAGTGTAAAGAAAGAATGCGGCCAGTGAAAGCAGCCCTCAAGCAGCTGGACAGGCCGGAGAAAGGTCTCTCTGAACGTGAGCAGCTGGAACACACAAGGCAGTGCCTGATCAAGATCGGGGACCACATCACTGAGTGTCTGAAGGAGTACTCCAATCCTGATCTGATCAAACAGTGGAGAAAGTACGTATAAAGATATATGGATAAAAGCCACAGTGTGAAGAACACTAACTTTCCTTTCCAGAAAATTTAAAGAAACATAAGGTTTCTGCTGATCATCAGTCATGACTAAAAATAGTAATTTTGAGAAGAGCCTGTCCTCTTAAATATATATGATGATTTTGTTCATCTCAAAAGCAAACTATTTGATTGATTTTATTAATACATGTTAAAGAATTATTATCAAATGATTCCAGTGAGGAATCTGACCATGACTTAACCCTTCTGGTCTGTCTGAACAGGGTCAGCAGCCTGATTAAAACAACTAAAGGAGGAGATGTTTCCATATGTAGCGATTACACTCCTACCTTGTAAACAGGGAGTCCTGGGTTTGATACCCAGAGGAACCACATACTTAAACTTCTACGTCTTCTACAGTTTAATGTCGTTGAGAACAAGCTGCTGGTGCTCTCACAGTTTATTAAAAATACTTAAAGAAAAGCAGGTTTATGACCATCTGGACGTCAACGACGTAAACGTTAACCTGTGATGTCTGTGTCTTTCAGAAATCTTTGGATATTTGTTTCCAAATTCACAGAGTTTGATGCCAGAAAACTACACAAACTCTACAAGCATGCAATCAAAAAAAGACAAGAAAATGCCCAGGTACGTAGACGCTGGTTGGGATGTCATGAGCACCTGTTCTTACATCACAGCTTCTAATGACTGTTGCTTCTATTTCAGGCCATGGAACAGAACACTAGGAGTATAAACACACACAGCTATAAGCATGCAGGTAATGTCCATTCCTTACGCAGTGTGTAAAACGTCAAGTAGCTCATGTGTGTGTGTGTGTCCTAATCGTGTGTGTGTATCAATTCCTCTCAGATATTGAACGGCTGAAGGACAACGCTCACCAGGATGAAAGCAGCCGGGACAGCATAAGCTCAGAGAGGCAGCAACCGACGGGGAGAATCCATGAGAGCAGCAGCAGCAGCAGCAAGGAGAGGCACGGCTCACAAGAGTCCCACAGGAAGACGACGGGAGGAGAGCCACGAAAAAGACCTTTCTCCTCCTTTAGCAATGGCAAAGATCACAGAGAACGAGACCACTACAGACCAGACAGCAGGGACAGAGACCGAGACAGAGACCGAGACCGAGACAGAGAAAGACTGGACAGGTGAGCGACCAAAATCAAGTGTCACTTGTATTCATACGTCTGAGACATTTGAAAATGTGTTTTTACTGTTTTTGACCTTGGTAATGCTCAGTCTGGAAGGAGCAACGGACTGAAGCACAAACAGCTGAGATAAAAAAATTATAAATGGCTCATTTTGAGGTGAACTGATTGTCTCTGATGTGTATTGAAAGCTGGTATTGTCTGTTGGTGTCTTGTGCTGATGCCACTGTTTTCCTTGTGTGTAGATACTACAATGATGTGAAGCACAGGAAGCTGGAGGACTTCCGTTCCAGCAGAGACCACCGGCTGGACATGAAGGAGCACTCCCACTGTGACCAACGCACTTCATACCGCTATCAGGCAGACTGGCAGTCAGAGCAGCGCGCCTCAGGCCCCGGGCCGCGCTCACCTTACGATGCCCGCTCGCCAATGGGGCACCGCTCGCCTTTCGACTGCTTGTCAGACCACAAAAGCACACCAGAGCAGATTTGGAGCAGCAGAAAGACATAACAGGAGCTGCACGGCGCTGCCCGCAGCAGCAGCAGCCATGGACTCAACACATGCCTTACACATAGGGACTGTTGAGTTTGAAGCACTGTGTTCCAGTCAGTTCAGCATGACTGTCATCTAACTTCAGCTTATCTCAAATACTGTGAGATAACAGAGGCCAGGTAGCAGCTCAAACCAGGTAGCAGATTTAAAAAAAAAAAAAAAAAAAAAATTCAAATCATATTTTTCTATGTAAGAGTTAAAAGCTGCATCGTTGGTGTCTTCAACAGAATGCAGTGCTTTTTTGTTTTTTTTTTATATAGTTTTTTAAATGCTGAAAATGGACACAGTTTACCCTGAGTACTGCCTCATATTCGCACCGACACTGGATTCTATATTTGATTGATCTCCATGTTCGTCTGCCTCTGTCATGCTCAGTGCAATTATGGGGCTTATTTAAGTCACATGTCATATGGATCGCATGATATGTCGATGTAAAAGGTTAAATCCAGTCTGGGTTCAGGCTCATCACCTGAAGTACCTCATTTTCAATACCTTACGTATTTCCTCACTAGGATTTCCTTTCACCAGGTGTGAATTATTTAATAACATATCTTAGCTGTAAAATATAACTTCAATTTTTTTTTTCTTTTTTAGAGAACTTGTATTTTTTTTTTCCTTCAATGATACTGTACATTATGTAAAATAGTAAATTGGTGGTCTTTTTCCTCAGGATTGACTCGACTTTTTCCCCATCAACTCAGGCTATTTGTCATTGGACTCTTGACTTTATCTACAAACATTTTCTCCTGAAAATACTTTCAGAATGTAATTTTTTTGTAAAGGGAAAAGGTCTTTAAGGACATGCAGTTTAATTCACTAGCGCTAGTTCCTTTGTCTCAGTAAAAACATGTTGGATGAAGCTGTCTTTTGTAATTACATTCTGCAGGAAGACGTTTGTCTTTCCACATCAGCTCTGGTTTGAGCCGTTTTCTTTCTACTTTATTGTTTCCTGTTTAGGCAATAATGATTTTTCTATGCAGCCAAGTATGTCTGTGGTGATACAGCCACCTGAATGAAGTCACTGTTACAGTTCACACTGTTGTACATAACTTTCCTTTATTTCAAGATGAAATTACACTGAAAGTGCATGAATTTTTATGAAGTGTTTTATATAGCTGTTTATGAAGCCATTAAAATGAATCAGTGTACCCACTTGTACCAGCTCTTCAAACCACTAGGTAATTCTCTCTGTGGTTTATCTTTCTCAACTCTCAATAAAATCAGAGGCCAAGACGACACACGGCACAGACAGGTCACACTGCTCTGGGTGTTGACATTTATATTATACAGCGGGACTATAAATTTCAAATAAATCATCGGGTGCCTGTCTGGTCGTGGGGTGTTAGTCTCGGTCGCTAATTCTCACCAACTCATCATCTGTTATCTGAGTTTGCTAGTATCACAGGCGCCATCTAGTGTTTAAATAAAAACATGACTCCAGGCAGTAAACGAACCAAATACTTCATAAAACTTCAACTGCATTTTTTAATACACTTTTTAATAATTTTTGTTTAATTGTTAAATTTTCCTAATAGTACAGCTTTACGTAGTAACGACTTGTTATTCTTGTAAATTATTTTTATTCTCTAAATGTACGGCTTTATTCTCTTAATCCCACTCCGTCTAGTGGGAATTCTCTCAAACATTTTCTTCTAGAACGTCAGTTGGTTCCCTGTGGTTCCCGGTCGTAGTACTGTTTACTATATGGACCACGTTCCAGCACATGGTCGACTATCAACAAACACCCTCTCTCTCTCTCTCTCTCTCTCTCCGTCTCCACCGCCACCTGCTGGTCTCAAGCATGTGCAAACATTGGTCGAGAGGGCAGCGGCTTTTCTCCTGGTTTAAGGTTAAAGTGAGTGAGAGTGTGTTGACTCAGTGAGAGTGAAGAGAGAGAGAGTCGTAGGTTACAGTAGTTTTCTTACGAGAGCTCTGTGTGTTGTGGAGTCCCTGTCGACGTCACTCAGTCATTAATTAAAGGTAAGCTGCTCATTAATAATAACCGTTATTAGTGCTGTAATTAATAATATGTGTTTGTCGTTCCTGTTTCAGCATCAAGTTCGTACTTTTACTTACGACATTTAGCGTCACGTACGTTGTTTACGCGAACACTCATAAACATAACTGAACAGTGCTGGGGAACTTTTTTTTTCACCAAAAACAAATCGAACCTAATAATTATTTCGATAATGAGAATGTATGTTCTAATGTGTTAAAGCTAAAAACAACCCAACTGTGTTTTATAGACAAAATAATATAAAATGAAGTTGTATTAGCAATCACGTGTTAGGATGCTAACTGCTCTTCACGTTAATTCATTTACAGCATTGGTATGAAATTAATATTTATAAATTAATATTCATTCCAGTCCAAATCTCATACTTGTATGTAAGGTAAAAACGACAATGACAGTCTGCTTGTTTTTTTTACTTTGACAGGTCTATTTAGTCATAAACCTAATATATATATATTTTCTTATATTTATTCCGTAGGCTCTCTTGTATGATATTCTTTGTTATTAAGTTTAACTTGTTAATGTCTGTGCATCCATTTGTTGGATTTAGCTTTGGTAGGTTTTTTTTTTTTTAGTGGTTTTAGTATTAAATGTATCTACAGTACATTGTGTGATTGTTTGTGTTCTGCAGTGTTGGAATCAATTCATTATTTAAATCAGGATTCATCTCCGACCAGTTTCCGATGTGAGTTTGGTTCAGGACTAACCAATCACTGGGGCGAGGGGGATTCCCATTACAGTCCCATGGCTTTATGGGCTCCTTGTACACAAACATGTCTGAGGTTTATTCCCCTCAGACATACTGTTTGCCTCCTGCGTAATTTGTCTGTGGACACATGTGAGTGGTGTTAAATCTGCACCATGTCTAATTAGATATGGATAGTTATACTTTACATGGGTGTAGTTTGAGTCATAACTAGTCCTGACAGTCAGTCAGTGGTGCTGTGAGTTGAATGTACCTGAATGAAACGAAATGAAAACACTTGGTATCTTGGTGTTGTGACAGTTGGAGGCATTCAAGATCGTACGGTGGAACAATATGGTTATGCACTTTGCCTTACAACAAGAAGCTTGCTGGTTTGATTCCCACTTGTAACTGATGGTCTTTGTGTGTGTGTGTGTGTGTACTGTCAGGTTTGTGTGGGTCACACAGGCCAAATACGATTGACCATAGGTGTGAGTGTGAATGGTATGTAATGGTTTGTTTCTGTGTTGGACTGGTCCATGACCGTCACCTCATCGTCGACTGCCGTGTCTGGCAGAAGAAGTGTAAACACACTTACATTCTAAAAATTTGACATCATTTTCTTGACATTTTTCCATATTAATAAATTCATTATTTAGATTAGTCATAAATAAAAAAAGGAATGTCATATAAAGGAATGTTGATTGACTAATTAGTTTAGAATTTTTACTAATTCTCTCAAAACAGTCCTTGTCTTTTGGACATTTTGTGTTAATTAACTCATCTGAATTTGTGATCATCTCTAGTTAGTAACACTAGGTTGGTAAATCTGACTCGCACAAAGAAGAAATTCATATGTAAATATCTCTTTTATTAATTTTGGAAGATTCTGAAAACAGAGTTATTATAGAAAAACTCAAAGAAGACAATGCTGGAATGTTCATTCACACTGTACATACAAATGTAAATGGTCTACATCAGGGGTCACCGACCTTTCTAAAACTGAGAGCTACTTCAAGGCTACTTAGTAATACAGAGAGATAGTTGTTTGTTACAGTCTTTCTGAACAATGTCATAATAATCAGTTCTGCTACATTCAGTAGTAGACACTCTTCTTCTCACCATCGTCATTTCAACCATTTGAATATCACTGCACTGTGGAACTGATTCAAAAAGAACCAGTACCAGTACAATTTTTGACCTTTTGTTGACTAGTTTATTTTTAGAAGATGACCCACGGGCACCTTCGGTAGTCCATGGGGGCTACCAGGTGACCCCCCCACCCCCCAGGCATCACGTTGGTGACCCCTGGTCTACAGCATATCACCAAGTCAACACAACTCAACAGGCTGGAGTTTGTTTGTAAACCTCACTCCCAAATTAATAGGACTGACATGAGAAATGCTCCGGTGCAAAAGTTCATCTGCCTTTTGTGGAAGGGACATTTTTGCCGCATTTATCCAATCAGTGTCTGGATCCATCTGTGAAAAAAATTCACTTAGTGCTGCCCCATGGAAACAAGTTGAAGCTGAGCATCAACAGGGTTTAATATGCTCCACCCTGCAGATCAGACCTGGTCTGTGCTTCACTGCAGACACCAGGTCCTAATTCTCAGGAGTGTTTGATGAGTGGACGCAGAAGTCTCACTACTGTGCTGTGTGAGACGGTTTATCAAACAGCCCAGTGTTCAGCGCTCCACTACAACATGTTTGTCTGTAGTCCTTTCACACGCACACAGCTTGTTCCTTGTTTATGCTGCGCTGCAGTTGTCCTGGGGTGAGGAGTTGCGGGGGAGTTCAGCGTTGGTGGCTGCAGCTGTGCTCTCTCTTAGTTCAGCGTAACCAGAGAGGACTTGGGCGGAGCCATCCATAAAGTGTCTCCACAGATGAACTGTCAGCTTCTCTCCAGCCACTGGAGACGTTTAACAGGCTTCTCCATCAAGCAGCTCTTCCAAAGAGAGAAGGAACGTTCTCATTGGCCTCTCTCAGATTCATCAAGCAGCTGGAGTTACAATGTTACCATGCTGCTCCGGAGTCAGCAGCTGTCTCTGGTCCATTAAGGAAGAGGACCAGACACACTTGGTGTGAACACACAGACAACGATCCCTCAGAGACCGCAGAGAAACTTTTATGTTTTTGGATAAGACTTCAGGAGCTTTATTTCACATCATCTTTGCGGTCTACTTCCTGTCTTCTCTAGACCCTTGTAGACCATGCAGTGTTTTGGCTGTTTGACGTCGGTGTCTTCTACTGCACCAACGTGCCTGCTGCTCCACATGGCTTATCAAAACGTAAAAAAAAATCACCTTTAAATCCCAGATTTAAATCATACTTCCTTTTTAAGCCCTAGTGTTTGAGGTTAACATCAACACCGTGTCTTTTTATTGTTCTCTCCTTAGTTTTTCTTTCTACCACTTAGTCTGTTACAGGAGCTGGAGCCAATGCCAGCTGTCATGGGTGGAGGGGGCCATGGGTTACAGTTACAGGACAAGTTTTATAGACAAACAATTCACTCACATTCATACCTACGGTTCATTCAGGGTCAGCCACTGAATAACTCCTACATGTTTCTGGATGGGGGGGGTGGGGGAGGGGGTTCACATTTGATTTGTTTCCAGATCAATTGAATTATTTCACAAATATAAATAAGATCCAAAGTTAAAATTGTTGATTTTGTCAGTTTTTGTCATGTTTATATTGTAACTTAATCAAATGAGATTTGAAACACACTCATTTGTAGATTAGATTTATAATGACGTGTAACACATGGAAGACCCTCAGTATTTATGACTGAGCCTGAAACAATTATCTCTAGATATATGCAACACTAAGGCTTCCTCCTTAAGCCCCATCCATCCATCCATCCATCCATCCTTTGATCTCTCTTCTCTGACCTCAGGTTGCAGGGTCAGCAGTGTAATCAGAATAGTCCGGACTTCCATCTCCCCAGACATGTTGTCCAGTTCTTCTGGGGGAATTCTGAGACATAATCCCTCAGTGTCTCCTGGGTCTCTCTCTGGGACTCCCCCCCATGGGGTCATGTCTCTAATCTAAACCCCTTCTCGTACTTACTGTATCGCCACGTTACCAAGGGAGAGTCCAGACGCCCTGCTGGTGTCTGCCATCAAGTCCCTGCCTGACACCAGAGAATCTGGAGTTTCTCTCAGTGCAGGGTTTGAGGAACCAGCCTCAGGTCTGGATGGAGGAGATGTTGTAGTGACTCAGCCCTCTGTCTGTGTCAGTCTTGTTCCTCTGACCTTTGTCTGTAGTCAGCTTTTCTACCTAACCATTGGTCTGTTAATAAAACAACAAAATGGAACTAGCAAAGCTTATATTAACAGACAGTATTTTGCAGCAGTAGCTTTACTGCAGTTTTCTGGTGTATGCCCATATTGTTCATATTACTACAGAGAGAGAGATAGGTAGAGTGTGTTTCATATAAATACAGTACTTGCAGTACAAGGAGAAGTAGCACAGTGTTACAGCCGTGTCCTCTCTTCTTCCTAACTCTGTCAGGTGGAGGTGAACAGCCGGCTCAGATGGCTGCGTCACTGTGGCGCCATCGTGCTCTTCTGACCGTGTTCTTCTGTTGTCTGGTCCACATCAGTTCCTCCCTCAACCAGGATGATCCCAATGTCTGCAGCCACTGGGAGAGGTCGGTACCAGCACCGCTGTTTTAAAACCACCTTCATGGAAACGTGCTTCTTTATCATCACTGACTTTTTCATGACAGATCAAATTGTGGACAGGTTGGACGTTGGACCTGGACAGTTTAATATGACATAGTGAATGCTTTTATTTGATAAATAAATAAAATGATGACCAACGTCCTTTTAGTGCCAGGAACTGTTTGCAGGAACTAAATATCCTGTTTCCAACTGGCTCCCAGTGTTTCCACTTTTCCACTTTTCCGTCGGAATAACATGGATCAAATGTGTAAATACTCATAAAGCAAAAACAAGCAGTAAAAACAAATTAACAATTAAAAAAAAACACAGTAATACCTTTTGACTTCCAGTGCTCTACCACAACGACTGAAATGTGTGGGACAAACCCATTTAACTGTGACTGTAAAGTAGTCTGTAAACTAAAAACACCAAACGTTGAAGATTAGCAACTTTAGCCCGTATAAGAGAAATGCAGCTAATGACGGACACGTCTGTGTGAAGTGCTGATCACAGGCAGCAGATTTCTCTGCTGCTTTGTTTTGAGCGCGTCGCAGCTGCTCATCTGAACAGCTGTTGGCCACCGCTGCCAGTCATAGTACTGTCATGACTGCAGTAGAATGTTACATTTTCTACTTTAGAAACTCAAACAACATCCCATTGATATTTTTAAAAATCTGAAGATCTTTAAGTGATGACACTGAGTGTACGTCATCAGTATCTTTACTGTAAATGCTGTGTGCTGCATTCAGCCAATCAGGACTACTGGGATGTAAATACTGGTTCCTAGTACCAGGACCAGCTCCTGTGGTGAGTACAGCTATACCAGGAACACACACATTTCTAAATCCTTCTGATTGTCTCTTTCCTGCCTTCTTCAGTTCCATAGTGTAGCCGTTAGCACGCCTGCCTCAGAAGAAGAGAGCAGAGAGTCCTGTTAACAGCATATCTGCTGCTAACACAACAGTTTCCCAAATATGGGATCAATATAGTTCAAATTTATTTTATTTATTTATTTATTCTTTGTGTATTTTTTTTTCATTCCTAATTTTTTCCTTCTTCCTCTCCCTCTGTTTTCAGTTACTCGGTGTCAGTGCAGGAGTCGTACGCTCATCCCTTTGATCAGGTCTACTACACCAGTTGCAGTGACATCTTGAACTGGTTCAAATGTACCAAACACAGGTAAGGACGGCATCATTAGTTCAGTAGACACACAGGTGGTCACAGGACTGAAATCTTCTTTTGTCTTGAATAGAATGACAATCTTAGAATTTCTTTTCTGTGTGTGTGTGTGTGTGTGTGTGTGTGTGTGTGTGCAGGGTGAGCTATAGGATCGCATATCACAGAAAGGACAAAAATATGTACCGGAGAAAATCCCAGTGCTGTCCAGGATTCTACGAGCTGGACGAGATATGTGCACGTGAGTATATATAATATTAAACAATAAATAATATTAGAAGAGTTTCAAAAAAGGTTTTGAAAATAAAACCTTTTGGTGACATTAGAGGTGAAGATTATTTTTTAGAAAATAAAGAGAAACATCAGACAGAAATCAGAGATGAATTTCTGAATTTCTTTGGTTTCTTGGGCAACATCAGATTTGTGCTTTACTGCTAAAAAAGAAGAGCTAATATTGGTAGTGAGTGTCCACAAACCAAAACACCCCATGGTAAATTATTACATTCCTACAGATGAACCTGACATTTAAACTTTTGTATAGATTAGAAAATAAGAAAACAAGTGTTTTTTACAGCCAAAAAAAGTAATGATTTACATCTTGACTGACATTTGTTTCAACAAGCTGCTGTTTCAAACCCCACATTCTGATCATTCAGTCAAAACAAACTTACTATTGTATATTCCAGACTAAAGAACTACATTTAAAGCTGCAGCTGCCAACTTTTTTATTGTTATCATTTTCGTTGCACAAATATCTGTCGACTTTTCAGCAGACTGTACATGGTACTTAGAAAAAGCGAGACATTTTGTTTCAGGTTTTTTATACTCAGTCTGTGATGAGAGACTTTCATCTAAATACACATGGAACAACCAAACACAGCTGTGCCTGTTACCAGCACTGATTCTAAAAATGGTAGTTTGTGTTTTAGCTTGTTTTTTAATACTTACATTTGTCTCAACTTGAAATAATAACTGTCACAGAGGCATGAAGCACAGGGCTATGTTTGCAGTCAAAAGGTCACACATGAATGAAAAAGTGCACAAAACTGCAGAAACATGCCGTGGGGAAAAGCAGTGGATACCTGAAAAATGTCACTGGTAAATAACAAGAGAAGTGAGTGATAGAATAACAATATACAGGGTTTTACAACAGCAACATTAAGTTACACAGAAGAAGAAAAAACTGGAAAAAAAAGAAATACAGAGAAAAAAGAAATTCAGGAAAAAACTTTGAAACATCAACTAAACTAGATGGATGGACAGAAGGATGGAGAAATAGGACCTGAGCTCCATGTGAATAGATCATTTTGTTCTTTTTTTATTAATCACATTGACCATTTTTCTATTTACAGAAACAATCACAATTTAGTGAAGTAGGAAAAACACATTTCCCATCAAACAGACACGAACGCCTAAAGAACACAGTGTAGATTTTCCGTTGTCTGTGACTGTTAAATCTGTTCCACTCCTGATGACCTTGAATGTAAACTCAGGGTTTTTGATCAAATGAATTCAACTTGTCTAGTGTTGTGTATGTTTGTATTGATGCGCTCCTCGCCTCTCCTCTCCTCTCTTCTCCTCTCCTCTCCTTTCTTCTCCTCTCTTCTCCTCTCCTCTCCTTTCTTCTCCTCTCTTCTCCTCTCCTCTCCTTTCTTCTCCTCTCTTCTCCTCTCCTCTCCTCTGTTCTGATCTGATCCATGTCCAGCCCACTGTGCAGAGAGCTGTGTCCACGGCCGCTGTACAGCCCCCAACACCTGCCAGTGTGAACCTGGCTGGGGGGGCTCCAACTGCTCCAGTGGTAAGTCCCTCAGCTGCTGCTGTCCGTGAGGACTTGTTTGTGTAAGTCTGTGCATATGTGTGTGTGTGTGTGAGAGTGTGTGTGTTTAGTGAAATCGTTGGACGCCGTACAAAAGCCATTGTATCATGTTGCAGACTTCTGGTCGCTGCCGTGGAAAGTAAGCCTCGAAGTTTTTTGTCTCTAGTGTCCTGCCATTAATTACCCTAATACATTTTTTTTTATTAAAACATTTTAAAAAACTGTTGGCTCCAGGAAGCAGAAAGAAAAGGAAGGAACTGGATATTCACTAGTCTTTGGTTCCATTTACAAACATCCTCACCAGTTACCCCTGGTAACCCCCACCCTCTAAGGCCTGTGACATATCTGCAGTGACTGTATGAGACTGAGTCACTTGGAGCCACTGATTGCCTTTCCGGTCAGTGGGCAGTGTAAATGGATGGCTGTGGAGTGGGAGAGTAGAAAAGGAGGGCAGGTTTTGTTCACCGCTGAGTGGAAGGAAATCACCTGGGGCTGTGGAGCTTGTGATTTAGTACATATGATAAAACCACGAGAAGCCTGGGAGACTTCAGGTCTGAACAACAGACCCTCTTGTACGCCCGACACAGTCAGTGTTGCTGTTGTCTGTGAAACAGGAAATCATCATCTCGAGCTCTGTTTTCTAAATATAAACTGTCTTCCTCCACATGAAAAAATTAACAAACCAGGGAAAGGTAGAATTCTATTGACAGTTTATGACTGTTTAGACAACACTACACAACAGACGGCAGGTTGAACGTCACTTGCAAAGTCCACAAACTGAAAATGTCCACTGACTCCCATCACTTTTCACTAGGAAAACATTGTTATAAATGAAAGATTCTTGCTGCGTGAGGTGTCTTCAGGCAAGGAGTGGAAGCAGCCGGTAGATGGTCGATTTGTTTTATTGACAAACGTCAAGCAAAACAGGTCCAAACAAAGCCAAATAACAAACGGGGAGATATTCAAGGAACAAAGTTATATATTACTTTAAAATATTTCTGATATGTCATCAGTGGTTTGCGCTTTTTATACGTATTTTTGGGGAGTGGTTTCGGCTTCCCGGGCGTGTGTTTAAAAGTGGTGTACCAATGGGAGGAAAGAGGTTGGGCCGTTTGTGGCCCACTTTAGCATTTAGCTGGAAAGACATTCTGCTACCAATCCCTCCAAAGTGTAGCAAAATGCAGCAGTGATAAGACACAGCTGTAAGAATTTCAAGTCAACCCACTGAGTCGTGACTTAAGGACAAAGTGTCCAAAAAACTGTGCTAGCTGACATTTTTTAATTCTATTTAATTCATGAATTAATATATATTCTATTAATCCTACAGTATAGTTTTGTTTTGCGGCCATTTTCCATTTTGTCATATTAACTTTGGCATCGTCTCGACTGAGTTTGACACCACTTTACATTCTTCTTTTTAATTCAAGTGGCATTAGGTGCATGCAATCAACATTAGACAGAGACACTGTCTCTAACCATACATCATAGCATGTCTCACTACTGTCAACTTTGCTCCTATTCTTCTGTCATCAATGCCTGACACCTGTAAACTAATATATAATATATCATTTAATTATATTTAACATTTAACGTTTACCCTCTAGTCAAGAAGCAGATAATTGTAATCTTAATTAAACAGGTGCTGTTTAATCGGAAATACATACTTTTAATTTAGCTGCTCATGACTAGAGGGATTTTTCCGCAGCCTGTGACGTCGAAGCGTACAGATGATTCCTAACACAACTCTTTTTGGATCGAAACTGTTTTCATGTGCAACTCCACTGCTGAGTGGTGCGGGATTTTTTATGATAATAAAAGGATAAAACTCGGGATGACCAAACTCTGAGCATGGGAAACTGGACTCACACTACAGATGTTCTTTGTTAGCCCAAATCCTTCAAATCAATGTGAGAGGGGGTTCTGTTCCCATGAGTGCACCATGCCTAAAAGACTGGGTAATCTCTAAATAGATGGAAAGACATTCTGCTACCAATCCCTCCAAAGTGTAGAGGTTTAGAGCTGAGCCGACCATCAGCAGCTCGAGTTACTGCCTCCCGACTTTTTCTCACTTCCTCCATGAAGTGTTTTTGTGTGAGTTTTGTTTGTGATTTGGTTTCAATCTGCAGAAGTCTAGATAAGCATGTGTGTATGTGTTCTGATTCACTCCACGATGATAATAATGATAATAATCTACTATGAACGGGTCAGTGAAAGGAAAAAGTCTTCAGACCTTTACTGGTCCTTTATTTGGTTCTGTTTTCAAAGGTACAGGGATGTCAAACATTATTTAGTGTTTTCTAATATCAAGATGTTGTTTATTTTTCCCTTCAGCGTGTGACAGCAGCCACTGGGGGCCCCACTGCAGTAACAAATGTCAGTGCCAGAATGAGGCTCTGTGCAACCCCATCACAGGAGCCTGTGTGTGCAGTCCTGGACACAGAGGGTGGCGCTGTGAGAGCCATTGTGAAAGCGGGACATATGGAACGGGATGCCAACAGAACTGTCAGTGTCAGAATGGCGCTACCTGTCACCATGTGACTGGAGGATGCAGGTGTACACCAGGGTACACTGGGACTTTGTGAGTTGAAGGGATTTGTAGGAGATTCAGATAAAGTACTTTGACAAAGGGCGCAAAGCTAGAGCTCCAAATATTAACTAGTTCTTTTCACTGCCATGTCATTGGCTAAGTTAACGATTGACCAGCTAGGATTAGAGGTTGAACAGAATGCCTTGAGTTAACATTCTGATAAATTGTCAGATAAATGTTCCTGGGGCTGCAGCAGAGCCTTTAGCATAAGAGCTAAAAACAGCTAACTGATGCTAACACAGCACGTCTTAGCTGATCTGGACGTGTTTTACAGTGGAGAACGACAACCATTACAATTTGCAGTAGCTCAGCTGAGATTACTGGAGGAGTAAAGAAAGTCTACTAGTTTCAACACACTTCAAACTGGTCTCTACCTGTAGCAGGAAAATTAAGTCTGAGACTAAGCTTGTTTTGCTAACTACCTGTCTGTTGCTACTGTTAGCATTACTCTCCCCCCTCCTTATGTCACTTCAGTAGTATCAGTGAGAAGACATTTATTAACTAACCTTACTAACTAACTATTAATTATTATTTTATGAACACCTTTTGACTCTTACTTGAATAAACTGTAGAACTCCAGGAACCACGGTGGGAAACTGACTGTCTGAGGCCTGGGTAAACAATCACCTGGTGGCTGTTGTTTGATAGTAATATATTACCTAACGTATGACTAAATGTATTACTTCCATGCCCCCATGTAGACATGACACAGGTGTTAGCCTCCGTTTTTAAAAGTAAAACATTTGGATGTGAAACCACACTTAGAGAAATCTACAAACTATTGGTTAAAGATACGGGACCTGTTGCTTCTTCCTCACAGCTGTGAAGACCCCTGTCCGCCGGGTAAACACGGTCTACAATGTGAAGAGCGTTGTCCATGTCAAAATGGTGGGGTGTGCCACCATGTGACCGGAGCGTGCTCCTGTCCAGCAGGATGGACGGTAAATAGACAAAAGTTGGTTTAATGGTGTAAAAGATTGAGATTGTTTGTTTTATGGTCTCTGTTTTTTTTATCATTTATAGATAATAGATGTAATCTGACAAGGATTCTCACCAGGACTAACTTCTTTGACTGATTCATCTTGTTTCCTCTCTCTCCCCTGTAGGGTGATGTGTGTGGACAGCCGTGTCCACAGGGCAGATATGGACAAGATTGTTCCCCGGAATGCCATTGCCACAACGGTGGTTTTTGTTTGATTTCTACTGGTCAGTGTCTTTGCCCCCCTGGATACACAGGAGAACAGTAAGACCCTCTTGTAAATGTTCTAGCTAGCTCAGCGTTCTACTGTGCTTCACGGATCACATTTGGTTGACAGATTGACAGATTTCACTAAGTGTGTCGGTCGTTGTGTCCCCTGGTGTAAACAGGTGCCAGCAGGAGTGTCCAGTTGGTACTTATGGAGCAGGATGTGCAAAGACATGTCGCTGTCAAAACAATGGCAAGTGCAACCACACCAACGGTGTGTGTCTGTGTGAGCATGGATACACAGGAGAGTCCTGTGGTGTCCGCCTGTGCCCTGAAGGACGCTACGGCCTCAGATGTGACCGGAAATGTCGGTGCCACGGCCAAAACACTGAGAGGTACGCAGACACCCCAAAGTGAAGGCAGCAGTTTGTTTTAGCGGTGCAACGAGTGTCAGGACAGACAGATGTACAGGGGAACCTCAGTTGTGGAACAATTAGGTTCACGAACAAAATGTTTAAATTTTCAAGCAGCAAGTGATCACTGAGTGACGAGTGTGTGACGTCAGTCTGCGATCAGTGTGTGACGTCAGTCTGCGATCAGTGTGTGACGTCAGTCTGCGATCGGGATGTACACGCTAAGAACCGTTGGCTGATTCTGCCAGGATTTACACTGTGCTATTTCTTCTATTTTTGTTATTTGATAATTCACCAAGGGAAAGAAGAGTAGTGAGAACAACAATAGAAGTGAAGAAAGAGATTATACGAACATGAGAATGGAGCTCGTGTTTCAGATCTGGCTTTACGAAGTCGTCGATCTGTACCGTCATTAAGAACAAGGGAACACTAAAAAAGGCTGAGGCCAAAGGAGTGACTGCGGTGGTCATTCTTTCACTTCTCTTCGACGCTTTCGAGTTCGTCTTTAATACCAGTTTTCTGTACGTGCTGGTGTGATTCCTGACAGTGTAGACGACTGACTGTTGACCGTTGGTAACTGCTGGTCAGTTGTGCTGCACAGCTGGCATGCTGCATGTGTCCCTGCAGAGCACAGCTGTTCTGCTGCTACTCAATGGTCTTGCTGTGTCACGCAGACCAGTTGTCAGTCAAGCCCAGTCCCTTCATGTCATAATGGCAATTAAACCACCACTCCACTGGGTTTCCTGGACTCACCTTTTAAGACATTGACTGACAAACTAGTTGTTGTCTCCCGTTTGAGTTTTCTCAGCATTAGTCAAAAAAAGACCTGTTTCACTTGGGAAACTGTCTGTAGCTAAACTGATCAAATCTTTTTAGACATATATTGTCTGTTACTCCAAACTAAAAGCGACTTAAATGACATCTTTTGGTTCGTTAAATTAGCTCCGTTCAGCTCAGGGCCACACACACTTTCCACATTAGTCCCTCTGCTTTAACCTTCAGAATAATCCTGTCTGTCTAATTGGTTGAAATGTGCTTTTTTTTTCCTTGGCCACCAGCTGCCACCCAATGTCAGGGCAGTGCTCTTGTAAAGCTGGATGGTCAGGACTTCACTGCAACGAGACATGCAGTCCAGGATTTTATGGTCTGTCCTGCCAGCAGGTCTGCCACTGCCAGAACACTGTGGAATGTCACAGTGTGAGCGGAGACTGTCTGTGTGCTCCAGGCCTCACGGTAAAGAATTCACGTCACGTCACAAATGATGTTTACTGATAAGTACAAATGTCCACCACCAGGGAACAAAGTTACGATTAGGACTCAGTACGTTTTTAAAATAAAAAGTATCCTGGTTTTAAGGTTTTAAGTCCACAATCAGAGTACATCTTTACTCAATCAAATTCTGACTTGTAGGATTTTTTTTCATGCAGAAAGAAAATCTAGCCGGGATTAACACAACTATATTAACACAGATCCATTAGGAGAATTAATGATGACTAGGAAATAGTATTTATTTAAATTTGTATTTGTTTTGGAAATAATAAAAAATGTATTGATATTCAGATGTTCCAGCTGTACTCCTCCAAACAACCCCAACCAAATTACTGTGTCTACTTCTCAGGGTCCCAACTGTTCCCGACCCTGTCCACCAGGGACATACGGAGTAAACTGCTCGTCCCTGTGTGATTGCAGTAATGGAGCTCAGTGTTCACCTGTGGATGGATTCTGCCTCTGTGAACCAGGTACATTCTTCATCCTCTTCTTCCTCTTCTTCTTGTTGATGTTATCATCACTGTCATCATTATCGTTGTTGTTGTTGTTCTGATGTCATCAGTATGGGTTGGTGCGCACTGCTCCATCAACTGTCCCAGTGGGACATGGGGTCAGAGCTGTGACCTCAGCTGTACCTGCAGGAATGGAGGATCATGTGACCCTATGAATGGTCACTGTACCTGTGCTCCAGGGTGGAGAGGAGACAAGTGTGAGCTGCTGTGTCAGGTGAGGTGAAACAGAATAAACACGTCTGTGTCAGACCATCAGTCCAGACTCCTAACATTCACTGCAGTCACACAGTAACAGCCTGAGCCTCACATCACTGTCACATCACTGTCACATCACTGTCACATCACTGTCACATCACTGTCACATCACTGTCACATCACTGTCTCACTGTGTCCACTTGGTCACAGAGAGTTCTGAGGAGTGACTTTTTTACCTTGTCCATTATGTAAATCTGGTATTGTCAACCCTCCCACCTGTCCAATCTGAGTCATGTTTGTGTAGAGGGGGGTCATCTGTGGGTCGCCACCTTGGTGATGGTAATCTTTTTGAGCCTCTCCAAAGAGAGAGTCCCCGACCTCAGGTCATTTAGAGACCCATGTCAGGCCTTTTTAAAGAGGAGGACTAGAGTGGAGTACTTTACCAGCTGAGGAGCTGTGTTCCTGTCCAGGACTCTGAAACAGGTGCTGGAACACCCCCCCCTTCTTCTTCCCCCCCTGTACCAGCTGTTCCTATAGGCTGGGAGAAGAGGTAGTTAAAACCCACTCTCTGTGGATTCAAAGTACATTGACATAAGAGAGTGTTCTGGAGACAGCACGGATAAAGTAGAGTGGATGAAAGTTAGGTGCCTGTGTTCCACAGCTCCCCCTAGATGATGAGGTTGAACTTCAGCGATGCTTTACCTACAGGCAGATGCCTCTGCTGGTTTTACAACAGCGTAGCTAGCTCACAATAAAAAACAAGTAAACAAGTGTACTATTATTATTCCTGACCAGGATGGTACCTATGGTGTTGACTGTAGAGAGCGCTGTGACTGCAGCCATGCTGATGGCTGTCACCACGCCACTGGTCACTGTCGCTGCCTCCCTGGATGGACAGGTGAGACACAATGGTTGTTGTTTCAGTCAGTGCAGGGTAATGATAATTATATTTTGTTTCAAAAATTAGTTACTGCGAATCCATATTGTAGTAGTGTGTATTCTGCAGTACTGTGCACAGGTTTCAAGCTGTTGCATGTGTAAAATAACTTTCTCTAATTAAGAAAAAACTAATTGATGAACATTGTGCTTTTTTTAAACTACTTTGTAATGAACAATTTTAGTTTATTATCATTATTTAATTCCTAGTTTGGAGCCTTCTTTTTACTTCCTGTGTGTGTGTGTGTGTGTCCACCCAGGTGTCCACTGTAACAGTGTGTGTGCAGAAGGTCGCTGGGGTCCAAACTGCTCCCTCCCCTGTAACTGTAACAATGGAGCGTTGTGCTCCCCTGAAAAGGGCACATGTGAGTGTGCTCCAGGATACAGAGGCACCACCTGTCAGAGGAGTGAGTACTGTGTGTAGCAGCGCTCACCAACAAGTTTTCCACCAGGGACTGGTTAAATGAACATTTTGTTTTAGGATCGGCCTTTAAGGTGTAGCGGTATATACAACTAAATAAAATAATAACAAGTAGCGGTATATACAACTAAATAAAATAACTAGACCTAAATTAAACCAAAGGACCCACGGAGTGGTCCGGGGGTTTGGGGACCACTGGTGTATAGTATGTGTATTTGTACTGTGTACAATATGTGTATTAGTACGCCGTGCAGTATGTGTATTAGCCCCACTGTCTTATACTGTTTTGTCCAACATGTCATGTGATCTAGTACAACAGGTTAGCTGAAATTGTTTTACCTGGAAGTTCAACTAAAAGATAAAAAGAAAGAATGTGTTCTTCTGCCATGGAGTGAAGGAACAAACTAAAAATGAGATTTTTTTCCACATTTTCCTTTATGATACTATTGAAAAATAGATGAAAAATTGAATTTTGAAGCGCTATAGCTAGCTGTCTATTTAGCTTCAGTTAAATGGGTGTACTACAGTATACTACACTTTATAGTGTATATTGTATTATACTGAAGGTACTGTATATATGAAGTCATATAAAAAGTACAACAAAATTTAGTTTTTGCTTAACACTGAAAATAAAAACATTAGCCTAGCGGTGCAGTTGTGGAGTCTTTTAAAGTGACCGCTCCCTCCGTTTGTCTTGCAGTCTGCTCTCCTGGTTATTTCGGTCATCGCTGCAGCCAGACCTGTCCACCATGTGTCCACAGCAACAGACCGTGTCACCACATCTCAGGACAATGTGATTGTCTGCCAGGCTTCAAGGGGCCACTGTGCAACGAGGGTTAGCATCACAATAAAGACCATTCAAGACACTGTGGTTACTGTGTCTTGTGAGCATCAGACCAACGTCAGAGCCGGGCCTCAGGACAAGAACCAGCAAAATACACACATCTGTGTTCACATAGATTTTACTGCAGGCTCCGCTGCATATACTGTACTACATATGTCGGGTCACAAACTTGGTCATTTGATCCTAGTAGAACAACCAACGGGGATGTTCAGTGAATATTCCTGTGATTTAGAATTCCCAGAAATCAATAACCGATCTTAGTGGTAAAGGTCAGAGTTGATAATGTTAAACAGATGCTGCTGTATGTGAATACATGTGCAGATAATGTGCAGCTAAACCACATGATATGTTTTGTGAACAGTGTGTCCTACTGGTCGCTTTGGGAAGAACTGTGTTCTGAGCTGCAGCTGCACCAACAACGGCACCTGTAACCCCATCGACGGCTCCTGTCAGTGTTACCCAGGCTGGATTGGCAGCGACTGCTCTCAGCGTGAGTGTAATCCAATGATAAGGACGTCAACAGACACGCTTTTAACGCCTCGCTGTCCTCTTTCACCAATACAGGTTTCATGTAAGGTAGTCATCAAGATGGGGTAAAGAATTCGTCAAAATAAAATATGGTTATGAAAAAAAGTGCATAAAAGTCAAGCTCACCATAACATCAACGGTCAAATATAACATTTGCCCTTTAGTGTTGGTGGTTGGGCAGTTAAAAATAGCCTGTGGTAATAAACCTGTACTATACTGTAAATGTGACAGTCTTTTATTTTGAAAGTCAAAGCCTTTACTGTCTTTTCTTTGGCCTTTTCCAAAGAAGTTTGTCATAAGGACAGACTTCTGTCTTTTTTTTAAGACCAATAACATGTCACTCTTATTTTGTCCCTTTGTTGCAGCTTGTCCTCCTGGTCAGTGGGGACCCAACTGCATGCACACGTGTAACTGTCACAATGGAGCTTACTGCAGCGCCTATGATGGAGAATGCAAGTGTCTGCCTGGATGGAGCGGCCTCTACTGCACTCAACGTCAGTCAGGCCTTCACGTACACAACACCACTGATTTAAGGATCATTTTCACTTCATTTACAAAAAATGTTATCATTACTATTATTATTAATAAAATACTTTTAAAAATGTCAAACACATGTATTTTCCGTTTTGTTAAGGAGCCAAAATACAGATGTTTTTAAAGCTTTGACTGTTTGTGATGTTTCCTGCCGTCCCTGCAGGCTGTCCACTAAGTTTCTACGGGAAGGACTGTTCTCTGAGTTGTCAGTGCAGGAACGGAGCTGACTGTGACCACATCTCTGGACAGTGCACCTGTCGCACTGGCTTCATAGGACGACACTGTGAACAGAGTACGTCAGACTGGACTATTTCCTTCTTTGGTCTCCCTGGTCCCTGTTTTTCTTCCTTTCTGTTTCTTCTCTTCTTCAATTTGCACCATCGACTCTTCAAACCTGACTTTCTTTGATTTAATTTTTTTCTGTGTTGCAGAGTGTCCCCCAGGCTCCTATGGTTACGCGTGTCGCCAGACGTGTGACTGTCTAAACAATTCCACGTGTGATCACATAACTGGTGCATGTTACTGCCACAGAGACTGGAAAGGAGCTCGCTGTGAACAAGGTGAGGATTCAATTCAGTATGAATTCAAAAACACTCTGTCGTTATGTAGTGAGGATTCTCTCCACCTGTGATTTCATCAGACAGACACAAACCATGTGATGAATTTATGATCAATACTCTGTGTAACAATCAAAGTGTTCTCTGTCTTATAATAATGTTGTGCTAATGTTAGCGACTTTCTTCAACCTGCTCTCACTATTGTGTAGAAATAATGTTCATCCACTATGATGCACTTTTCGGTACAGATTTAAAAAACGGCACGTTTTAAACAAACATTTAAAATCTGGGAGTTTCCCTTTAATGTGCATGAAATTTCATTTTAACGTCTTTTGCTGGACATTTTTCATCATGCTTACTACGCGAGGTAATGCATGAGAGTGAGTGTTCTTTAAAAACAGAAATAACATTTTTATTTAATTTATATTACTTAAGTTCAAACGTTTCAGCCTTTCTGATGATTTTTTTTTTGGCTTTTTTTTTTAAAGCTATGAAAAAGAAATGCCAAAATAAATGAGCAGACTCTGATGTTGTTGTTGTCCTGTCTGCAGCTGGTTTGATTGTGGTTGGCAGTCTCAACACTCATGCCACAGCCATGCAGGTGGACATTTCCCAGATTGGAGCCATCGCAGGAATCATTGTCCTGGTGCTGCTGGTGCTGTCGCTCCTCTTTCTGTTCATCGTCTACAGGAAAAAACAGAAGGGAAAACAGCCGGCCATGTTGGCCGTGACCTACACTCCTGCCATGAGGGTCACTACTGAATACTCTATGCCAGGTAACGTATCAGCCCCCGCCCCCAGGATTGAAACACAGTTTGTTCCCACCATTTTACTGCTTCAGACAATATGAATTGATTGTTCTTCTTGCAGATACTCACTCACCATCACGTGAAGATCAGTCTAGTAACTACTTCTCCAACCCCAGCTACCATTCTTTGAGCCAGTGCATCACCCCCCCACATGTCAACAAAGGGCTCTTTGAAAAGGTACGTAGTTAGTCTTCTGACCTGTGGCCAGCCGTGACCCAAGTCCAGAGAGTTTGTTCAGGTCTAACCTAAACTAGTCTGGTGAGTAATAAGAATCAGTAAAACCCCTGATGCTCAGTGTTTATGAACGTTTTCATTGTTTAGACAAAGAACAACCATCAGTTTTTGAACTTTAAGAACATGGATCACAGAAAAGGACCTCCACACATCGATCACACAGGAACACTGCCAGCAGACTGGAAACAAGGTGACTGCTTCAGTGACCTGGGTAAGTCACACGCCACCTGTTGGTCATCTGCTTAACCAGTTTTATTTGTGTTGAAATGAGGATATAGTGTTGAAGTATGTTCATGTCCTTTCAAATGTCATACGCCTGGCGCCTCCAGTGGCAGCCTGTGTCAGTTGCAAAGACTAACTGCATTTCCCTAATGTGGGATGAATAAGAAACTGAGAGACTTATTATTATTATTATTATTATTATTATTATTATTATTATTATTATTATACTATGGATTGAACTCTGCAATTTGATGAATTTCTGCACATATGAGTTGCTGAAATAATGTGTGCTAATTAACAACTCCACCCACCCTGGTGTTTCTTCATACTAGGAATCAATGGCATTAATAGTAAATTCATGGGAAAGTCCTTACGAGGTAACTTCTTTTTTTTTTTTTTTTTACATTTAAATGGTTTCTAAGCATATTATATATTTGAAGTTTATTTCCCATTTTAAGGTTTCCTTGTCTTCTTCAGATCTGGTGAAAGGCGCCCCGTACAGTGCCAGTTCTTGCTCCATCAACAGCTCAGAAAACCCATATGCAACAATTAAGGACCCTCCACTTTCTACAGCCAAAAACACGGACTGTGGTTATGTGGAAATGAAGTCACCAGCCAGGCGGGATTCAACATATGCAGAGATCGATACTCCGTCAAACACCAGCTCCACTGGTAGCACAAATGTCTATGAAGTTGGTAAGGTCCCCTCGTTGATGGCAGAAGATGGATGGAGTCTGCCTCTTAAAATGTCTTTTAACTGCTAACTGACTTGTCTTTGATTCCAGACCCTATAAACACTGTCCTGCCCCCGGGGGACATCAATGGTCAAGTCACGTGTGGACATGATCCATACGATCTTCCTAAAAACAGTCATATACTGTCTCACTACGACCTCCTCCCAGTCAGAGAGACTCCATCACCAGAGTTGGACAAGGACTGACAGCTCAGAGACACAGAGCTGAGATCAGCTGAAGCCTCAGGTCAAAGTCCTGTGACTGCTCCACCAACAGGCACACCTTGAACGACATGCTCCGACTGTCGTACATCAATATGTAAATGGATTTCTACTTCTGGATGACATATTTTTATAGAGGTGTTATGACCTTTCCAAATGGCCACAGCTTCCATCATAAAGACTGAGGTCAGTCTACCATTCCATACAGGCTCTAATGATTGCTAACATCCCTCTGATGGAGGCTGTGTCTCACCAGACATGATCTGTATCCAAGAGTGATGGGCTACAGGTGGAGAGACATGTGGACCTCAACTCACAACATCCAGTGATAATCCAGGTTTACCGTCCGTTTCCCTGTATTTCTCTGACATTTAAACAGAGGTTCTGTTTGCCCAGACCAGAAACTAACACAAGTTTTTAATGATAACCATGTTTAATGATGGGAGTTTCCAGAATATTCAGTCTAAATATATATTACTGAATATGATATGGTAATTCATAGGAAAAATATTGCCATGTGTAATGTTCACAAAAAAAACCCACTAAATTTTCTATATAAATATGCATTTTTTAAGGAATTAAGTCAGTGGTTTCCAAAGTGAGGGGCGGGCCCCTCCTAGGGGCTTTGGAATTATTGTGGCGAAAAGGTGGGGGCAAAGCAAATAAATCTATTTCAGTGTCTTCCTTATTCGTCCCACAGTGGGGACGTTGCAGTGATTTGTAATTTTATGTTTAGTAAAGATTTAAAGCATGAGCTTTGAATGTGTTGGGGGGGGGGGGTGTATAATAGTCCTACCTACAAACAGAGACAAGGCAGAACATTTGGAAACTGCCGTCTAAAGTCTAGGTTTAAAGAATATCCCCCAAAACACTTTTATTACACTTTTACACATGGAAATACATCAGTCTTCATCTTCTGCTTAAGATGAAAACTATCATTGAAGACAATGAAGTAATGGATCATTTTCCCAGTGATGGAATTAAAATACAGTATGTTTTTATTACTATCAGTAACTCCAGCTACAACAAGGTCTTTCAACGTAATGATTT